ACTATCTTAACCAGCATCCTTGCATATTGCTTAAACCCAACCAACTGTCATCCACTGTCAGTAAGGATTCGCTTAGAAGGCTGCAGAAGTATTTTTATCTCATTTCATCATGTTGGCTATTATGTTGTCAATGCATGATTTGTCAATCCCCTACATCACTGTGACCCTATAGTAATCCATTCTGTTAAGGCTCTGGAGGATGTTTTATTACAGGTGGTGAAGGATTTTTGGCTCTGTTTATTACTCCATCCCTTCTGTTCTAATTGGTTTCTTTGGAATTTAACTTCAGACTCCTCTGAGAGCTTTCTTCACTCCACTTACCGGTGCAAATGCCTTCTATGTTTTAATCAAAATTGCCACTTTGGATTATGTTTGTCTATTGAGTCTGAGGTAACTAAAAATACATAATCTGAGCATCAACCAACTATATTTAAAAGTTAAATTAATTGAGACACAAAACAAAATTCTCATATTTTAATCATGTAGTCATATTGGGTTAGCTATATACTCCAAATAGATGCTTTTAATGCATTACCACTATTTCATTGTTCCTGTACACTTCATCCTCTCTTAATAATGACTTCAGTTTAACAATGAGTACAGCTTCTGGATGTTTTTGTAGTACTCCCCCACTCGCATTTCAACCTTTGACTCTTGTGCTTGAAAAGCCCTGACCAACGCTTATAACATCCACCATCATACTTCTTTCAAAGGCACAATTCTTGCACATTCGTCCTTGAATTTCAAATATGTGTGTGTTTCTTTCTACCTGCTGTAAATAATGTGGTCGTGTACACATATCCCGTTATTGACAATATCATCTGTTCCACAGTCTATTGTGTTAGTTTTATTTAATGGCACTGGCACATGATAAGACTGAATGCTTCTTCGGTTCACTGCTGATTTGCTCAATATAGGGTATGTTTGTTAACTTCAAATGTTACATTAGAGATTAAACTCTAAATTAGGTTTTATTCTCTTCACTGGAAAACTGATGTAAGTTTGACTGGCAAGGCCAAGTGCCTTTTGAAATATATTTGAATTTTTCACAGTGGAGCAAAATGTCACAGATGAAACAATCCAATCACATTTCCATAGCTCGAGGTGGCGTTTCTCTCCTGGCTTGATGATGAGGAAACGTTATCTCAGTTGGACCGACACCTACAAATGTTTCAGAATAAATATTGTAGACCACCTGTTATGTATTCATTTGAACCAATACGGTACCTTCAGCCTCAGTTGACAAACAACTATAGTCCATTCATGATTTTGTATTTCCTTTAAATATAGTTTTTTAGATCAGTAACACAAGAACTGCTCTTTAAAATTTGCTTCTTGAATAATTTTTATTTATTAAATATACACTCACCTATTATTATTAGGAACACCTGTTCAATTTCTCATTAATGCAATTACCTAATCAATCAATCACATAGCAGTTGCTTCAATGCATTAAGGGGTGTGGTCCTGGTTTAAGACAATCTCCTGAACCCCAAACTGAATGTCAGAATGGGAAAGAAAGGTGATTTAAGCAATTTTAAGCATGGCATGGTTGTTTGTGCCAGACGGGCCGGTCTGAGTATTTCACAATCTGCTCAGTTACTGGGATTTTCACGCACAACCATTTCTAGGGTTTACAAAGAATGGTGTGAAAAGGGAAAAACATCCTGTATGTGGCAGTCCTGTGAGCGAAAATGCCTTGTTGATGCTAGAGGTCAGAGGAGAATGGGCCGAATGATTCAAGCTGATAGAAGAGCAACTTTTATTGAAATATCCTCTCATTACAACCGAGGTATGCAGCAAAACATTTGTGAAGCCTCAACATGCACAACCTTGGGGCGGATGGGACCCACCGGGTACCATTCATCTCCACTGCAAATAGGAAAAAGGGGCTAATTTGCAAGAGCTCAGCAAAATTGGACAGTTGAAGACTGGAAAAATGTTGCCTGGTCTGATGAGTCTCGATTTCTGTTGAGACATTCAGATGGTAGAGTCAGAATTTGGCGTAAACAGAATGAGAACATGGATCATCATCCCTTGTTACCACTGTGTAGGCTGGTGGTGTAATGGTGTGGGGGGTGTTTTCTTGGCACACTTTAAGCCCTTAGTGCCATCTGGGCATTGTCTAAATGCCACAGCCTACCTGAGCATTGTTTCTGACCATGTCCATCCCTTTATGGCCAACATGTACCCATCCTCTGATGGCTACTTCCAGCAGGATGATGCACCATCTCACAAAGCTCGAATCATTTCAAATTGGTTTCTTGAACATGACAATGAGTTCACTGTACTAAAATGGCCCCCACAGTCACCAGATCTCAACCCAAAAGAGCATCTTTTGGATGTGGTGGAATGGGAGCTTCGTGCCCTGGATGTGCATCCCACAAATCTCCATCAACTGCAAGATGCTATCCTATCAATGTGGGCCAACATTTTTAAAGAATGCTTTCAGCACCTTGTTGAATCAATGCTACGTACAATTAAGGCGTAAAGGGGTCAAACACAGTAGTGTTCCTAACAATCCTTTAGGTGAGTGTACGTACATAATTTCTGCATTGTTGTAATGCACTACACCTCAACATCTCAGATTCAGTCTCTTTAAGTGCATAAAGAGCAACAATTGAGCATGTAGAAATTCACAAAGGCATACGCAGTCTTACAGTGGATCTCTACTAGAGACCTGCAGAGATGAGCTTTTTGTCACATTGACGCTGTCTTTATCTGTGAGCCATGCCATCTGTCAGAAACCCCAGAAGACCTCTTTCTGAGCACACCATGTGTCTCCACATAAAAGGGTGGCTTAAACAAACAGTACTGCGCGGCACCATACTGTACCTCACTCGCTTGAAGATTCATTATTCTATGAGATTACCCTAAGGGCATTTCCAGATGTGGCTTTATATAACCCAGAATTCACCTGTTGTTCTCAGTAGTATACATCTTAGTGTAGACGATACGACACTTTAAATCATTAGCGCCAAATTAAGTTAAGCTCAAGATAAAATGTGAAAAGATCAGATGGGCTGTAAAGTTTCATGGTTTTCCAGCTGTGTTTTGGTTTCAGGTGAGCTGTTTTAGTAGCATATTGGTGGGATAGCTTGCAATCGTGTCCCATGAGGATTCTTGCTCAGTTTGGTAGCATCTACAACACTCTGGTTTGCTCGTTGCTAATTTTCTCAAAATTTACAGGAGAAGAACATTACATGACCATGATCACATTAAAAACTATGCCTTATCTGATTAAACATATGCTGATTACAGGACAATTCTTATTAGTAAACCTATTTTCACAGATGGAGATTATATACATATATATATATATATATATATATATATATATATATATATATATAGGTGGATGTTTGTTTTCTCCTTTTCTTTTTTTCTTTCTTTTTTTTTTTTTTTTTTGGAGAAACCAGATTAAAAACAACAAATCCTGAATCCGTGTATATCATGAAAAATCTATAGCAACAAACAATGTTTTTTTTATTTCAAACTCATGAAAGCCCTCATTTTCATTCTTTTGATTTCTTTCTCTTTTTTAAATACATGAATGTATATATTTCAAATACATTATACACTAAATAAACTAAATATGTGCAGTATTTAAGTACTGATAAATAAAGGCAGTGATGTGTGATTAAACAAAGAGGTCTGAAATGATCAATAATGACAAAGTGGTGAAAGCATCCTTCTTTAAAAAGAAATTAATTTGGGTCTGCCACTTTTGCATGTGTTTGAGATTCACACTTCTCTGCAAGAATAAATGTGTGGTTTCATTAATTTAATGTATCCCCTGAGGTCTCACCCACATAGGAGATCATTCCTTAAGTTTGGCCTAAATTATGCCAGCATTAAAGTAGAGATTATCGTAATTCAAAAGACACATTAAAACACTATTAATATTAGGCTGCAATTTTGTTTTTATCTAACACAAAAATATAGCATTACAAAACAACTTGGCTGTTTAAAACAATCCGGTTGTCACAGTCTGTCTTGTCTCCACCTCTTCACTATACTTCCCAGCATCCCTATTGTCTACACACCTGCTTGTCATCATCATCACCTGTGTTTAGTCTTTGTCATCATCTGTGCCCCCTGTTTCTGTTAATTAGTGTGTGTATTTAGTTCTTGCTTGTCTTCAGTTCAGTGTCCGTTCTTATGTGTGTTTCATGAGTATGTTATACCGTCTGCCATTATGGACCCTGTGCGTTGTTTATGGTAAGTAAAAGTTGACATTTTGGACTTCTCGTCTTCCTTTGCCTATACAACCCATGACACCGGTGATGGTGACTTAACAATATTGTCAATAGTTAATTTGTTTTAGAGTGAACTAACAATTAACAACAATTGAAAGCATTTATTAGTCAATAAATATCTTTGGTCATTTATACATAACTAATGTTAAAATGCACAACTAAAATGTTTAGTATATGAAGAAATTAACATTTAAAGTCACAATGAAATCAAATATAGATCATTAATAATATGAACGTGTTCAACCTTAATGTTACCGTAAATACACAAATCAATGGGCTAAACCGAAACTATGAGATTGTTCAAGCATCATCAGCACACCATGTGCTCATCATTGTGACAATAACTAGAAGTGAGGAGTGCGCTCTTCTCTCAGACTCACTGACTTAATGAGAAGTAAGTAAAGGGTACATAACAGGAACCAGCAGATGCCCTTATTTATTATTTACATACAGCCACTGACATCCTTTAGAGACAGCTTCTCAGTTGGCATCACGGTCTACAGCTTACAAGACAACCAGGAGGCTCTGAGAACAGAGGACAAATGCTCAAACTCTTATGCTGGTGATTGTGAGATTATTAAAGATTCGCTTTAATGCGTTTGACAAAATAACTAGATTACTGAGCCAATGTTCACTAGACACTCTAGACAAATTTTGTTTGTAATGTACTCGCATTCAAAACTGAAGTGCTCCTCTGAGGACTATTTTAAAAAATCTAATATTACTGATTGCTGGACATTACTGTCAGAAAGTCCGTCTCGGAACGGAAAACAAGCAGTGGTCTGACGGACTCTTATTATAGTTGCAACTTCCTGCAGGCTGATGCAAAAGCCAGTTCCAGCCTGATATCGCTGTTTTCCCTGATATTGTGCAATGTTGTGCGTTCATGCAACAAATGTGAGTAAATATGTTAATATTATTTAGTCAACACTTTATATCTGTTCATGTGAATGTTGGATGTTTAGCAAATGACGATCGCGATATGCAAATGACGATCGCGGAGAGGCGCTAATTCCATGGTCACGTTATTATTACATACTGCGTCATGCTGTTTATTTGTAGTTTATCTCATTATATGTTTAATTTGTTATCTGACAGTTGAGCATTCATTTGTGATGACTATTTAGTCAGTTATTGATAACTTGTGAGGTAATTTGTATACAGATATTGTATTCATACTGTATTCCTTTATTTATATATTCTACAGACCACAACATAACATGATTGCATCATATAACTCTCCTTACCATCCTGAGAGTGTATATGGATGTCACTTACTGCCTGACGAATATCATTAAAGAGAAGTTTGATGAAGATATACTTCTCCTGTGCCTGATTCTCTTACCGGAATCACTGTCCATATTCGTCCGCCTACAGAACTGTAAATTCTCAAACGTTGCTAGAGGTGCTACTCGGCAATAATTGGTCCTTCGAGCCGGATGTGGCAACAGTAAACAGTATGGACACAGCAGCTAGCGATGCATCAGAGACAGTGGTGAGACCTAAGAGACAGAGTAAACTGCCTTCCCATCTGGGTGTCTATGAGGTTGGCTACATGCTTTCTGGGGACCCTCCTCCAACCACTTCTTCTCGCTGTCACAGCCAACGTAAGAGCCAGTCGAGGAAAACGTCCCATAGTAAAGCCAGCTCCCATTCCAGATCCAGCAGTCATTCCACTGTGTCTGGTGTCCAAGCTACATCTGCACTCACAAGTAGTCAGGCAGCTATAGTGGAGGAGAGAATAAAACAGCGGCAGTATGATGACCTACTTCAGCAAATGGAGGAGGACACACTGGCAGAAATAGAGTTCCAGAAATTACAAACCCAAGCCAAAGAGGCACAACGTGTTCAAGAAGAGGCTCTCATGGCAAAGGAGGCCTTATCTAACCAGTTAGAACGACGGCGCAAGCTGAAGAAGGCGGAAGCTGATCTAGAAGTGGCCAAGCTGGTGAGTTCTCTGCTCAGCCAAGACACAAGTTTGACTAATCCAGAGCATCAAGCATCACCAGACACAACTGGGTTACCATCACAGTTTCATCATGCCAGCCCAGCCCACTCACCTGTATTTCAACAATCTTCCTGCCACTCCTCTTCCATGATGCAAGCCACACAGACGGTTACAGAGGAACAGAGCACATTAAGGGACACACACACAGTTCAGTCAACACCCAGGCTACCTTATTTGTCACTACAATCGACTATACCTGCTCAAGTTCCAGCTCTCACAGCGCAATTGTCTTCATGTGTAGTCACTCAAGTCCAAGGGGGACCACATATCACATCTCGAGAGGACATATCACCTGTTCCGAGGCAGTTCAGCTCAGTATCAATGCCACTACCTCAATTCAACCCCATGAAATCAGCAGCAAGCCAATTTGTGACCCCCCACACGGTTAGTGTTTCGATATCACAGCCAGTGCCTCCTGTTGCAACTACTGCGTTAACTTCAAACGTGCACACTCCTTTTCCAAGCCGTGTAGCCCCACCTATCAGCCAGAATCAGCCTTTTCAAGCCCCTCAGCGTCGAGTGACAGTTTCATCTACTGCACCCATTTGCCCTCAATCTTATCCACATCCACTTGTTCCCCAAACTGGTTATGTACCTCAACCCGGAACAGAGCTTCTGATGGCAGCAGCCTACGGTATTCCTCGGCCCACACTACCAGTGTTTGAGAGCGGTACAGAAAGTGACTTTGCTTTGTTAAAACTGGCCTTAGACAATCTATTAAGTCACCATACTCACATCACTGAGCAGTACAAATACCAAGTGTTACTGAGCCACCTGAAGTTTGCTAGTGCTCAGCAGTTGGCTAAGGCATATATGCACCACCCACAGCCATATACCGCAGCCTTACAAGCTTTGCAGGAGAAGTATGGCCAGCCTAGACAGCTTGTTCAATCAGAATTAGGTGCTATTATGAGTACTCCACCACTGAGAATGGGTGATACCAATGCCTTTGATTCATTCGCCTTATCTGTGCAATCCCTGGTGGGCATGCTGAGGACGCTGGAGGGACAGTACGGATATGAGTTAATGTGTGGATCTCATGTGGATCGTCTTCTGGGAAAGATGCCACCCGCTTACCGAGATGGCTTTGTAGAATACTGTTTAAGCCATGGTATCCTTCAAACTGGTACGGATAGGACCTACACTCTTCCCGACTTAGCGGCTTGGTTACAAACAAAATCTCAAGCAAAGCGCATCTCGAGTCAGGCTGCTGCTATGTTTCAGTTTGACACAAAGTCACCTGTAAAGAGTAAAGGCACTTCATATCATCGAGAGCGTTCAACACCTGTACTTTTGACATCCGAGAGAACTGCTAAGCCTTCTGAGCTTGCTCGGACAAAAGCTGTTTCCAAGTTAAAGCCCTACTGTCCTCACTGCGACAGCCAAGATCACTTTCTAAACTCTTGTGATAACTTCAAGAGGTTGACCACCACCCAGATCATTACCTGGATCACAGAGGGTAAGCGTTGTTGGAAATGTGGTCGGAATCATCCAGTGGACTCCTGTAATCTCAAGCGTCCCTGTAAAGTCTGCAAAGAACTGCACCTGACTGTCCTACATGACTCTATCAGAGATACTTCAAAAGCAGTGTTAATGGTGAGTTTACCATCCACTCAAATCTATCTCGACAGACCTAACCGCTCACAGAAGGTTATGCTTAAAGTTGTTAAGGTCCTCTTGCACAGTGGTGACCGAACAATAGAAGCCCATGCTGTTCTAGATGACGGCTCAGAAAGAACAATTGTTCTTCCTCCAGTAATTCAGCAGCTTGGGTTGAATGGAACTTCAGAGGTTCTCTCTCTCCAGACAATTCAACAAGGTCATACCAAACTTGAAGGGTCCACAGTTACCTTAGAAGTTTCTCCCATCACTAAACCCACAGAAAGGTATGTCATTCGTGATGCCTTTACTGCCTCTGCTTTGAGCCTTGCTGAACATAATTACCCAGTGGCAGCGCTTCAGAAAGCATATCACCATCTGAAAGGTCTACCATTGCAGTCTGTAGACAAAGTGAAACCCTTACTCCTCATAGGGTCTGATATGCCACACCTCCTGACTCCTATTCAACCAGTGCGTAGAGGAGCAGAAGGGAGCCCTGTTGCAATATGTACGAAGCTTGGTTGGGTACTGCAAGGCCCAATGTGTCCGATTCAGCCCCCTAAAGGCCAGCAACAATGCCTGCATCTAATGACAGCACCAGCCCGTGACGAGTTGCATCAACATGTAGAGCGCTTGTGGCAGATTGATATCTTGCCATACAACGAAAAGCTGATCACAAGATCAAAGCAAGACCAACAATCCTACAAACTCCTACAGTCTGCTACGGTCAGAGTAGAAGTGAATAATGTCCTGCGGTATGCTACCCCGTTACTGAGGCGTACTCCTATCACCTTGCTCTATGCAGGCAAAGAGGCTGTGCTTCCCAGTCTCAGAAACATTGAGAGAAAACTGGCCAAGAATCCTGAACAAGCTCAAACCTACTGTTCGGAAATTCAAAAGCTTGAATCTGAAGGCTACATTGCCAAGATAACACCAGAGGAGGCAGACAAGTCCACGGAGTCGTGGTTCATTCCGCACCACATGGTGCATCATAATGGGAAGGACCGAATAGTCTTCAACTGTTCCTACCAATACCATGGTCAAAGCTTGAATGAACAACTCCTTCCGGGCCCAACACTGGGGCCATCTTTGCTGGGCGTCATACTGAGATTCAGACAACATGCAGTGGCAGTGAGTGGGGACATAAAAGGCATGTTCCACCAAGTACGTTTGTTACCTGGTGACAAGTCGGTGCTGCGATTCATCTGGAGGAACATGGATAGGGAAGCTGACCCAGGCATCTATGAGTGGCAGGTATTGCCCTTTGGTACGACCTGCAGTCCGTGTTGCGCCATTTATGCCCTTCAGCTTCATGCCCAGGAACACCAAGATGCAATGGCTGGCTTAGCTGATATTGTGGACAACTCATTTTACGTTGACAACTGTCTTCACAGTACCCCCGACCAAAGTGAGGCTAGGGCCATTATAGATGGGTTGCGTCAATCTTTGCTAAAGGGAGGCTTCGAGATTAGACAATGGGCGTGTAATATACCATCAGTTCTCAAACACCTCCCATCGGAAGCCAGATCAGCTAGTAGTGAGTGCTGGTTGTCTCAGACTAGTACTGACATGCAAGAACCTACTCTCGGCCTACAATGGAATTGCCTCGATGACACCCTCGGGTACAAGAACCGCATTGCAGAGCCTGTTCAGCCCACTATGAGGAATCTGTACAAGACTTTGGCGAGCCAATTCGACCCCTTGGGTTTCATAGTGCCATTTACCACGAGGGCTAAAATTCTTATCCAGGATCTTTGGAAACATAACCTGAGCTGGGATGACCCCATCGAACCCATACACCTGCGAGAGATATGGTCTAAATGGGTTGCAGAGCTTTCTAGTATCACCAGACTGCAATTCCCTCGAACTTACGTGCCTGGTGGTGCTGATGCTCCTTCCACTGTTCGGGAGCTCCATGTCTTTTGTGACGCTTCCGAGAGGGTATATGGTTCTGTGGCCTACCTTCGTGTCACAGATGACAGTAAAAAGGTCCATGTTACCTTTGTCCTAGCTCGATCCAGAGTGGCTCCTCGTAAGTGTCTATCTATGCCCCGCTTAGAGTTGTGCGCTGCACTCTCTGGAGCTCAGATGGTGAAAGTGATACAGGCTGAACTGACCATTCCCATACACAAAGTCATATATTGGGCTGATTCAACTACGGCGCTGCATTGGTTAAAGTCGGAATCCTGCCGATACAAGGTCTTTGTGGGGTCGAGGGTAGCAGAGATTCAGACTTTAACAGATGTCACCCAATGGAGGTATGTGGACTCTGCTCGGAACCCAGCTGACCATATCACTAGGGGTCTTACCTTAGACCAAATAGCAGGTCCTCACCAATGGAGATCTGGGCCATCTTTCCTGACTGAACCACAGGATATGTGGCCATTGACACCCAGTACGGAGTCCGTACCTGATCTGAGCGAGATGAAAAGGGCATCCTTTGTCGGAGCAGTCACTGTCATTCCCAGTCCAGTGCCTTCAGACCTCAGTCAATTCAGAACCTGGAGCGAGCTAGTCCAAGCTACTGTTGAGTCCTGTAATGGGGCGGCCAACAACAATGTCTTTGAAGCCTCAATGTATACACAGGCAGAAAAGCTCCTATTAGCACAGTCACAGCTTGATTCATTCCCGGAGGAATTCAGAGCTTTGAAAGCTGGAAAGCTTATCCCGACAGACAGTCGCTTGAGTTCTCTCGCCCCAGAATATGACGAAAATACTGGTCTTATCAGAGTGGGTGGACGACTTCGTCGGGTTGAATCCCTGCCTTCTGATATCATTCACCCGATCGTCCTAGATCCTCATCATCAGGTCACAAAGCTACTCATCCAAGACATAGATCGGCAACTACATCATCCAGGTGCAGAGCGAGTGCTAGCAGAGCTACGTCGTAGATACTGGGTGCTTAGAGGCCGTGAAGCTGTGCGCAAACACCAGTATTCTTGCCAGGATTGCCAGTTTTGGCGTGCTAAGCCACAGAACCCACAGATGGCCGACTTTCCACCCTGTAGGCTTCGTCTGTTTAAGCCACCATTTTACTCCACTGGCGTAGACTGTTTCGGGCCCTTTCAGGTAAAGATAGGTCGGCGCCAGGAAAAGAGATGGGGAATTCTATACAAGTGTTTGACAACCAGATGTTTACATCTCGATCTCCTCGAGCACCTAGATACTGACGCCTTCCTCCTTTCTTTACGACGCTTTATAGCTCGTAGAGGAAAGCCTTTCGAGATTCTATGTGACAATGGCACTAATTTTACAGGAGGTGATCACGAGTTAAAGGACGCCTTTCGTCAAATGGCTCCTGAGCTGCAGGAACAACTAGCTAAACAGCAGATCCAGTTTTGCTATAACCCACCAAGTGCCCCTCATTTTGGCGGGACATGGGAGCGAGAGGTGAAATCAATTAAGACTGCCTTACGAGTTATTCTACGTGAACAATCCGTGCCTGAATCTGTTCTGCAAACATTGCTAGTGGAAGTTGAGGGCATCCTCAATTCCAAGCCCCTTGGCTATGTTTCATCGGACATTGCAGACCTTGATCCTGTGACTCCTAACCTACTACTCATGGGACGTCATGATGCTTCATTACCACAAGTTCTTTATGACTCCGACGAACTCTTGGGGAAACGCAGGTGGAGACACAGTCAGGTATTGGCCGACCAGTTCTGGACTGCTTTCATTCGCTTCTACTTACCAGAACTACAGGGTAGACAGAAATGGAGATCAGATGGCAAAGAGATGGCAGTGGGACAGGTGGTACTCGTAATTGACAATCAACTCCCACGAGCGCTATGGCCTGTGGGTATCGTGACCGAAACCTGCCCAGGGGCTGACGGGAGAATTCGAACAGCCAAAGTTCAAGTCAAAGGCAAGATCTACATGCGCCCTGTCGTGAAGCTGATTCCACTTCCTCCAATGAGGGATAATGATACAGACCCTCCAAACGGCCTTTCTTAAGGAATACAATTATCCTGACTGATAATTGGGGGCGGCTGTGTCAGAAAGTCCGTCTCGGAACGGAAAACAAGCAGTGGTCTGACGGACTCTTATTATAGTTGCAACTTCCTGCAGGCTGATGCAAAAGCCAGTTCCAGCCTGATATCGCTGTTTTCCCTGATATTGTGCAATGTTGTGCGTTCATGCAACAAATGTGAGTAAATATGTTAATATTATTTAGTCAACACTTTATATCTGTTCATGTGAATGTTGGATGTTTAGCAAATGACGATCGCGATATGCAAATGACGATCGCGGAGAGGCGCTAATTCCATGGTCACGTTATTATTACATACTGCGTCATGCTGTTTATTTGTAGTTTATCTCATTATATGTTTAATTTGTTATCTGACAGTTGAGCATTCATTTGTGATGACTATTTAGTCAGTTATTGATAACTTGTGAGGTAATTTGTATACAGATATTGTATTCATACTGTATTCCTTTATTTATATATTCTACAGACCACAACATAACATGATTGCATCATATAACTCTCCTTACCATCCTGAGAGTGTATATGGATGTCACTTACTGCCTGACGAATATCATTAAAGAGAAGTTTGATGAAGATATACTTCTCCTGTGCCTGATTCTCTTACCGGAATCACTGTCCATATTCGTCCGCCTACAGAACTGTAAATTCTCAAACGTTGCTAGAGGTGCTACTCGGCAATAATTACTCTTCTGGAATTGCTGTCCCACGTATTTCAAACCAAACCGGAGCAAATTTATGACCAACTTTTTTCAACAGATTGGACATAAATTTTATGATTTTAAGCCATACTCTGTTAAGCGGTCTGAAAATCACAGCAGATGGGGTATGAAAAAAAAATGCTTTAGATGCAGAAAAGTGAATGCTGTAATGTCAATATGCTCTGGCCAAGTTTGACACCATAAACCACTGTCTGTGACGGAGCCAGCATCCGAAGTGAACTATTGCATTCAAACAACCTGTTCAGAGGCCATAAAGTGAGAATCTGTTTGGCATAACAGGACAGGGACAAAGGATACACATTGATATATTCACAAACTATTTTACCTAAACACTATTTATTATTCTTAAAAGTATTGTCTTTGTTTATTATTATTAATAGTAATTAGGGCTGTCAAACGATTAATCGTGATTAATCGCATCCAAAATAAAAGTTTGTTTTCTATAATATATGTGGGTGCAATGTGTATAATTATTTTGTATATATATATATATATATATAGATATACACACACACACACACACACACACACACATGCATGTATATTTAAGAAAAAAATATTATTTAAATACAAAATATTGATATAATATAAATTATACATAAACCTATATACAGTATATACTGTACATGAAAATATTTCTTAAATATATACAAGCATGTGTGTGTATTTATATATAAAATAATTATACACAGTGCACCCACATATATTATGGATCACAGATGCGATTAATCGTTTGACAGCCCTAATAATAATGCATAAAATAATTAATATGAATAATATAAATTTTATGATTTTTAAAATCCTGCATATGAAATCTATACATTAAATATAATATATTTATATTATAAATATATAATATTTTTTTTTGCATTGTTCAATTATTGACATATGTAAATAAATATATATATATATAAATACAAATTGTATAAAAATGTGTGTGTGCGTGCATGCATGCATCTGCAATGTTAGGGTGTAATGAAGATTGATGGTAGTGTTCCAGGTGTAATGGAGGCACAGAGGAGCCAAACACCTAATTATGTTTTAATTACTACAACTGTAAGCATCGTGCCATCAGCACAATATTTGCCTCTTACAAGCAGAGTTGCATGCTTTTCATTTTGTTCTCATCTTTACAGTAAAATCATTTTGATTCAAAGACATTATCTAGTGTCTCAAACTATTCTATTCCATTCCAGTTGTGCTTTGGCTTGTTTGAAGCAGCAGACTAAAAGTTGTTATCCAGATATCCTGATATATGAATGCCCGGTTGAGATGTAACCGTGTGTTCTTTCTTTTGGAGACGCTTCTGTCCCTCATGCCTGTAAAGGCCAGCTTGGCATGAGTCTGCAGCGCTCGGGCTGATTATGGAGCTGCTTATGCCATGTGTCAGTGGGTCACAGATTGGACCGGTGCTTTGCCACTCGGGCTCTCCCAGCATGCATCCCACAAGGGGTACGGACATCAAAAGGCCCCGTGTTGCACTCATGCTGGAAAGACGAGGAGGCTGTGCCTTTACCATCTGAACGGGGACAGAGAACACTAACACACATTACAGTCCAAAGATAGATGCAGCGACAGGAAATATGCTCCTGTTGATGGCGTGAGATAGGGAAAGAGGGACTTGAAAATGTATTTGCATTTGCTTGGTGGGTCATTTAGGATTTCTAGTCAAGAGAGGTAACACGTTTAACTCAGAGGGGTGTTAAGTGTTAAATCTGGTCAATAAATCATTCATTGCGGTGCAAAAATACGCAGCACTTTTCTTCATAGGACAATGACTTTTCAATGCCTAATGCTTGCTACCAAAAGTCTGAAGCAAACTAGGATAATCCCACGCGTGCATTTTGTTATTAAAGCTTTTTTGTATTGTAGAAATTAAGTAAAAAAAAATAAATAAATAAATAAAAACATTTGACTGATCCCATCTTATTATTACATCTAGGTTATTCCTTTGGTTTATGGCCTTTAAAATGTAAAGTTACAGAACTCCCTGCCCTGCTAGGTTCTGGTCTGTCACTAAACCAACTGAACTGATCAAATCTATTTCATTAGATCAATTACACACAATTAGACAATACTGTAAAAAATTACGGTAAAAAAACGGCAGCTGTGGTTGCCAGAAATTTACCGTATTAAATACGGTAGCAAGAACTTAGGGTAACAAGGTTTTAAGGACTTAAGTTAAATTTAAAAAAGTAAATCTTATTTTATTATCTGATATATTGTTACATTATTGACCAATTGAAGTATTAATATCTGTTTTGGACCATTTTAATACACTGACAACCAATAATCCAGTGACGAGAGTCACATGATACATGGCAGCTTATCACATACAAGTAACATAAAATTAATATTGAAAAGCTGCACAGTCTCATTCACTCAAACATTAAACACCATCATGGTAACACACATGAAATTTTAAAAAGGCAATAAAAATTAATTTAACAACATTAAATGTCACATAAAACCCTAATGTACATAACTGATTAGAAAAAGTCTAAGCTATGAAGAAAAAACTATGAAGAAACAAATTATTTCAACAAAAATACATCAAATTCGAAGTGTCAAGCAGGGAATTGTGGGAATGTCAATTTACATTTTTTTCACTGGAAATTATACAGTGAGTTGTAGAAAACTGTAAATTCAACGGTATTTTACAGTAAAATTACATGAAATTTACCATTAGATCACAGTTATTTACTGTGTATGGTAAGGAAAGGTTCTGTTAACCAATTAACAGTTTTTCACTGTAGCGTTTTTACACTCTTTTACCGTTAAAATCACGATAATTTTTTTTAGGTCAGTAAGATTTTTCTTTAAATAAATAATACTTTTATTCATCAAGGATGCATTAAATTGGTCATAAAGTGAAGACATTTGTGGGGGGTTGTGTCTTGAGCACCAAATCAGCATTCCAAAATGATTTCTGAAGGAGCATGTCATGTGACACTGAAGACTGGAGCAATGACACTGAAAATCAGCTTTGCCGTCACAGGAATAGATTACATTTTAAAATATAAAACTGTTATTTTAAATTGTAAATTTGTGTTTATTTTTATTTAATATTTTTTAAACTAAATAAATGCAGTCTTTGCGAGCAGAAGAGACTTCTTACACTACAATGAAAAATCTTGGAATCCAAACATTAGTGTATGTAGACTGAATTTCTATTTTGCATTCTTATAAATTGTATTTCAAGCTTAAAGCTTAAATGCTTAGTATTGACTTTGTTTTTACAAAGCCAACAGAATAATTCAATAAATAAAATGGAGTTGGACCAGATGATGGAGCAACAGCCAGCAAGTGTCCAGTTTACCAGGCCAAATGCTGCTTAACACACATCCCATGACGCACCTCAGGGAGTTGGTTGAGAGAAGCTCAAATTTGTAATCTAGACAGAGGGTGGCTACTTTAGAAACTATAGTTTTGATTTATGGAACTTTTTTTTTTTTTAGTCACTGCAGATTTATTATCCTTCCATTAGTTTTATCTCTTAGCTCTGGTTCACATAATTGGGCATGTCTAGTGTGATGGCATAAACAATTGAATGAGAGACAAAGTATTCTTCAGCACCCAGTACAAGCCATGAGTAAAGCATGCACTCTGTCTATTAAATCATGATATTTTATTCTACATAATTATTACAGTAATTAAAGCATGACTGTTGGAGGTGAGATATATATATATATATTGAGAATTCAGTATGTTTTAGAAACAAGATTTATGTTCTTAAAGGACAAATGAAAGAATTATGCATAAAAACATTTTCTGCATTTTTTTCCCCCAAAACCAAAGTCATGTTTAGTGACCTAGCAGCGACATGTGCTGTTGAGTCATGCTTTCATTCTTAATCATCTTTATGAAAAAGAAAAGGTCAGATAGATCCATTAGACAGCTTTCATCCTTTGGGCAATGCCTTTTACTTCCAAGCCAAATCAAACGACAGTTCCAAGACAGACAAGAGAGATAAATTGTTTTTTCTTTCTTACTTTTTAAATGTTTAAGGTCTGATCATGAGGTCAAACATAACCACTCGTTACCCCCTGAAACATTTCACACATGGCGGTCTTGATCAGAGAAAATATGTGCAAGTGTCTTTTTAAGCTCCAATCTTGGAAGGAATATTTCACTGTTTAACACTTAACGCCCACATCATTCTCATACCTCATCACATTTGCATTTCTCCTCCAAAAATTGCTGTCTTCACAGATTTTAATTGTGCCCTTGGTAATAAATTACCTAATTTCCATCCCATTTCCCAGCCATGCTTTGAAATACATATAAATCTATAAATGTTAAATCTTTAAAGTTCACTGTTGCATAAGACAGACTCTTGAAATACATGCCATTGCCCTGCCCTTAATAAAGAGACAACAAATCTGCATGGTGTCTATATCTTTCTTGTTGATCTCCGTAGGTGGGTGTTGCTTTCCCGTTGATGGACTTAATCAGATATGTCTTAAGATTTTTATAAATATGTTTACAGTCTTGGTAATCTTAAATGCAACTTTTAAGATTATAAAATCAACACTTGAATCTGTAGATCTAGTCTACCTGGTAGCCATTGAAGGTATGCTGTTCTCAAATGGTGACGTACTGTTTGTATTCAAACCAAATGTAACTGATAAATGTTGCACTGCATGTTTCTAAGTAATAATTAAATAAATCATTCATATTTCACTGGACAAGATTGCAGTTTTTGACGGACATCTGTTTTCAGCACCACGGACAGCGTTGATTTCTTCTTTCCTCCACTCTCTCTTTAATGACTTGTTGCCTTTTTTCAAAATAAAACTTTCAAGTCCTAAATTCGTTTTTTAAATACATTCCTTGTTTTATGATATATATATACATTCAAGTAATATAAAATGCAAGATATCATTGCTTATCTATGCATTAAGCCAAACAACAAGAGAAATTTAAGAGAAATAGCTGTTTTTGTACTTGTACTCTGTTCATGTTGAACATCAAATTTATAAGGGCTACAAAAAATACAATGACGAGCACATTACAAAACACAATTCGTGCAAAATATGCTCTTGAATGCAAAAATGTCATTGACAATAACATACCGCTCTTTTCCAAAGCAATACGCAGACAATACTGTTACTATCCTACTTGCTTTTAAATTTCAAAAATAGTTAAACACACACACATAGAAAGTCATTACATTTCTTCAGATCCTAACAATAAATAAAATAAACTAGAATGCATTTCATGTTCTCTCTGCTACCTTTATTTTTGAAAGCAGATATGGAAATGTCCCTTGGTCTTCAGTCTGGGCCATTTAAAGAGGTCTATATTCAATCAGAGAGGGAAAACAAGGAAGCCAGAGAATGTGGAGTACTTCCACCCACCCATGAGGTTCCCTCTCTCTAGTTTGAGATAGAGTCTGTCTTCACGCTCTAGGTGAAGAAGAACACTGTTACTCGCTGCCTCCCGGGTCACGTCTTGATCGCCGGCAAACGCAGATATTATTGGGTATTCATTATGCATCAGATTGACCTAATGACATGGAAACACAAGATGTGATCAGATGCATTACAAGCCAGATTAACCTTTACTTCATAGAATGAAACTGCAGATGGTATATATAAAGCCATCATTTACATTTCACTCGTTCATTAGTACTAGTTAGATGTAGTCCTTATTCCAGTAGTGGCTATAGTCTCAATTTAATAAGCCACTAGTATTGTCCATTACATTCATTCGTTTTGTCCAACAGTGAAAACAAATTATTTTTTACTGGTATGTAGTTACCAATTAAAATATTGCCTTTAGACTAATATTGACTTCCAATTGTTGCTGATACTTATTCCAATTTTACTTCTTAGTTTAATTTCTTAGTTACTAACTAGAGTTACTAACATTTATTCCAGGTTAGCAAGTGGTTATTTAATTTAGTCTACTACAGTAAATATTTATGAGACACAAGTATCTATTCTTAATGGTACTAATAACATTTTTATTAGTAGGCTACTTATTTGTTTCCAATGTTTTATGAAATGACATATGATAATAAATAAATAAACAAATAATAAATAAATCTAATAAATAATATTCAATTAGTAGAAAACTGGAACACATAGTAGCCTAACTATAAAGAATGAGTAGTAGCATAGTGTTAAATAAAATGTATTAGTAAAACTGGAAACGATCCCAGCAGCTATTTCAATAGAAATTAATAATTAATATAGCCTATGCAATGATAAAAAGCCGATGTAAATATAAACATAGACTCGCCTGGATTGTCTGTCGGTTGTAGACCTTCACAACGTGAAAGCTGAAGCTGTAAATGCCTCGACGAGGAGCTTGAAATACACTCGCCTTAAGATCGAAATGATTTCCAATATTCACTAGTACCTGCAAAGAGGTGTGTGTTCACTTAGTTCAAATGTTTTTTTGTTTTTTTTTTAACTCACATTAACTCACAGATATGCGTAAATGTAAAAAAAACAAGGGTCTGACCTGATCAAAGTAGATGGTCATGGACTTGTTACTCATTTCAGATGGTTCATGGTTAGTTCCTCTGACAGCAGAAAAGGCCACTTTAGCACCAGCAGCCCGGACAGATATCCCAAACGACGAGGTCACTCCTCCTTCGGCGGACGGGTTCGAGTCACATACTACTAAACATTTTCCTTCCAAAACTACCGGTTCTGTGTCATTCTGTCCGAGGGAAAACGCAACGCCGCATCCCAAAAGAAGGGTGGAAGCCAGCACGGCCAAAGAGCCCTGTTCCCTGGCTCTCAACATGACTGTGGAAGACCTCTCAGCAAAAAACGACCACTCTTAGGAGATCAGTGAAGACGACAGCAACTCTCTCTCTCTCTCTCTCTCTCTCTCTCTCTCTCTCTCTCTCTCTCTCTCTCTCTCTCTCATCCACACACACACACACACACACACACACACACACACAACGCGCGCAAGCCTTATTTACAGTAAAAACAACGCCCTAAATTTTCTCCATGTGCTAAAGTTTTTTAAATTGCGCAATAATAATTTCCAATCAAGTTCAAATCCAAAACTGATGCATCACAGCCTATACAGCCAAATACACATAGCGTAGCCTATAGAATAACCTTATTACAGTAGCCTAATCGGTGCTTTGAAAAGAATCACGACGCAACTACGACAAATCTAGAAGGATAAACGTTAAGTATTTGTGGGTTCAATAAATTGCCTAGTCCAAACACATCTCCTTAAAAGGACTCTATCCAATTTAATGTAAAGTAAATGTCTTATTTTACCACTTTATTAACTTTAACAGGGTGGAGCAGCATTTACGCAAAAATTACTTTCAATTTACTGTAAGAGGACAATGGCTTTACACTGGTGACATCCCATTGTTTGTGAGTGTTTTAAAAAAAGGAATTAGATGTGCTATTGCTCCATCCAGTGGTTGTTATAAGATATTACAGCTTTTCTCAATTGCTAAAACACAATTTCTTAAACCTTGCTCCATTTTCTAAAAACATTAAACACAAAACCTTATCTTCAAGCACTATTTACAAATCCTCTGACTCCTCTTACGAAATGAAACTTTCATCTCAAAACAGTTTTACATGTGTTCAAAACCAAACACTGCTCTCAAAAGAGTTTTACCTGCGTTTAAAATCAAACACTGCTCTCAAATCATAAACAAAGAGATCAAAATGCTATACACTATCAAGCAGTCAGTAAACAATACACCAAAACATTTACAGTAAAACACATTGTTAAAACATATAAGTTCTCAGGGAGAACTATATGTCAAAACAAATCTCAAAACACATTTCATATTTTTTCATTGTACAGTCTACAGCGGTGCACTGTACTACAGTATACGATACTCAAAGGGACACAAATGAAAGGAGTAAACATGTGATCAATGTGCTTCTTGTCTTTGGCCTGGGTCAGGCCAGAGCACTTCGTCGACATCACAAGCAATATTGTCCCTTGCCCCCCTCTTCCACTTCTTCTTCCTCTTCCATGTCCCCCACTTTCTCCTTTCCACCTTCAACAACCTCAGTTCAGTTTGCTCTCTGAACTGGCTAATATTGATTGTCACATCATTTGAAACAGGTTGAATCAGTTTTGAGTGGTTGTGTTCAATCAAATGACATGTGTTCTCTATTTGTATTTGATTGTTGCCACTTGTATTTACCAGTGTGGATGACATGTGCATTAGAGTGCAGAATGTGTTTTGAGAATGAGAACGTGTTCAGAGTTTTGCTGAAAAGTCTAAGTGAGATCTGCAAATTGTGTTTTACCATGTGAAATTGTTTACAGTATTGACAACAGACACAATTAGATAAATGAGTTCAGGCAACTGAGGTTTTTGTTCAGCCAATGGATTTTAAAGTTTTATCAATTGAGAAAAACTGTAAATTACTTTCCAGCTAAAAGAGGAGAGATTTAGCCGACGGAAGCAGGTTTTTTTTTTTTTTTTTTTTTTTTTGCAGTATTTCCCAGTTTTGGAGCATCCATTTATTTCTTGTTTTCAAGATGCTAATGAAAAACAGTCCTACAGCGAATGCTGGTTTAGAAAGCATCTGGAAACATACTATGGTCTTATTTTTCACTTTTCCCTCTACATTACTGTATATCTAGTTTCTAGTTTGAACCCAGATAGTACAAGGCTGTTTGATCTCCTATATTTATAGAGTGTTTGCTCATCTGCAAGACGTCTATAGGAAGTTTCCTGCAGATGTCAAAGACGTTTAGAAGATGTCTCTAAGATGTAATGATTTAGAATGCATGTTAAACTGACATCTTATAAACGTCTATTTTACATCTGACAGGAAACGTCCTATAGACGTCTTGCAGATGAGCAAATAACACTCTTACAGTAAAAATACGTCTTCCAGATGTAAATAGGACATCAAATACCCTTGTGCTATCTGGGAACATCACTCTTATTGTTAGGTGCATAATATGCTGCTACAGGAACTTGGAATACCTCACATTTTCATTTGGCACACGACAGTCAAACAACCATATTTTACACAAAGTAGTAGGCCAACTTTAATCAGCAAATCATTTACTGTACTGTAACAGGCTACTTGGACAAACTTCATCTGAGGCAGATAGTCGAAGCCTATTCACGTCGTTGTTAGCCAAGTCTATCAACATATGAGAGAGGGGATCTCGTTAATCCACTCTTCATGTCCGCAGGTCTTCTGTGCAATGAGGCGGATTACGCAGATGTGTTTGTGTTCAACCTGTTCCATCAAACAGTCTTCAACTACACCGCGAGTTCTGTGAATAGGCGCAACAATCTTTGCAATGAATCTCACATAATTTCGGTCGCGTCCTTCAAGCAGCCTCTTCTAATGACGGACTTTTATATATTGTAGTTATATTATCTCTAAAATTTATCCTTCGCTTCGTCACTACAATTTGCATTTCATGGAATTCAAAGTTGAAACCCTTGGGAAGAATCATGGTGCCGCGGGTAAAACTGCTTCTTGGTGAGTAATATCGACAGTGCGTTAGCCTATAAAACCTAACATAAATGTTTCGTTCATTGATATCGACCAAGTACTTGGGAACGATACATGCATGATTCCCTTTAAGTTTAAGCTATTCTTATATTTAATAATGTAATTCTGTAATAGCCTAGTGTAATTCTGATTGCAATGTTCACACGAAAGCAATATCACTAAACCTCAAGTGGCAGCTGGAACATGGGCTACACTTGCAAAAGTGGTTATAAAGTTGTTAAACGCAGATCAACATTTCGTTGTACATTGCATATTATTGTTATTTAGCCTAGTCTTTATTTTTGTGTGGTACACACAGAAACCATAATGTCACAATTGACTGAGAAAACATCGACGTGTACCTGTAGCTATTGTAGCATGTTGTCCTCAATTTTGACAATGCAGTGATAGATAGATAGATAGATAGATAGATAGATAGATGGGAATTGGTAACAAAAACTCTTACACATTATAAACAATAAATGCAAAGACATTATACATGTTTACATTCGAGTTGTATTGGCATATTTAAGAACGTTTTAAGCATGAAGCAAGCTGTTCTTGACCATCAGTATCTCTGATCATTATTATTTATTTTAGCAGTCGTTTCAAGTCTCGTCAATCTTGGATTTTCTGGAGCACCAACAGCACCACCGAAAAAGAAAGCTGTAGGTAATTATCTCTTATTAACAATGACATACTAAGTGGGAAAGAAGGGCATTGTGATCTTGTGCAAAATCACGATTGACTGATTCTAACAATGCACATTGTAGTTGTTTAACCCAAGAAGTTTTAATCTCATGGCAGTCTTCTTAATGCTTTGTCTCTTAAGTTGAAAACAACTCAGGTGTGACACCGGCGGGATTGTGCGGTTCTTGGGTCAAAGATTCTGATGGAGGAATTTTTACATCTCCTAACTATCCTGAGAAATATCCTCCTGACCGAGAATGCATATACATAATTGAAGGTTATTCAGCTTACATTTTGATCATTGTTAATGAGTCATATTTCCATATCTAACTAGAAATTTGAATTGTGCCATAGCTTTTCCAAGGCAATGCATCGACCTGTATTTTGATGAAAAATATGCCATTGAGCCATCGTGGGAGTGTAAGTTTGACCACATTGAAGTCAGGGATGGACCCTTCAGCTTTTCTCCTATCATCGGCCGTTTCTGTGGACAAGAGAGCCCGAATTATGTTAGGTCCAGTGGACGATACCTTTGGTTAAAATTTGTGGCAGATGGTGAACTAGAATCCATTGGATTTTCAGCTCGGTACAATTTCACCCAAGGTAAGAGTTCTGTTTGTGTCATGATTATATGGTTGTGGTCCGGCGCCGGGGAGGGTTGCTGTGGGGGGTTTGGGGGTACGGGGGCCTGGTCCGGAAGGATGGCACAGGGATATCCAGTGCCAGGCCTGAGTATATGCATATGTCTGTATCAACCAATTATATATCCATTTCTTTTATACAAGTTTTTGTAAAACCAGATGATCATGTTGTCCAGAAGCGTCCATGGAGCATCTTGTTCTTCAGTGGGAGAACATCTGACCATCTGTACAAAGAGCCATATGATCCTTGTCTCAAATTAACTTTTTTTGATTAGCGACCTGGAAATCTGAAATAATTCTTTCAGCATGTTACAGGTTTAAATGACGTTTGGAATTGCATATTTTTGACTTTTGGCTCTATTGCAAAACAAAACGCATACACAGTTAGAATGTTGGTTTGGGACTGGTTGTTTATTAGTAAGAATCATTCTTGTTTTGGTAAATGCTGTGTTCAGTGCTCAAGTCTGATGGCTCTGCATTTGTAGTGCAGGCACACATGCAGCAGCTGAGTGGGGGAGGTTTGTGATTTTTCTGATCCCAGTTAATGAAAGCTTGTCTTCAGAGGAGCACACTCAGTCTGCTCCATGCCCTGAGCTCTGTCCTCCTGCTTCAGCTTCACCAAATCCTATTGAAAATCCACACTCTAAAAAAGAGAAAAGTTCCAAAAGATTCCAAATTAAGTTGTTTTTTTTTTTTGCAGTGATGCCCTAAAAGAAACATTTAGGGTTCCCCAAAGAACCTTTTAGTGAACATTTCTTAAAAGAACCATTTTTTCCTTAGTCTGAAGAACATACTATGTCAACTATGTCCAATGAAATGTTTCATTGATGATCAAGTTTCTTCATTGAACCATCAATGCCAGTGTCTTTATTTTTGAACCATCAATGCCAGTGTCTTTAGAGCGTATGGGATGGCCAAAATAATTTGTTATAGAGTATGCATTACTGTTGGGTTGCAAAAGGGTCATAAATATTTTGTCAGAATATTTTTGAATTCATAGTCACATCATTCAAAGTAAAAATAAAAAAAGTGTTTTTGACTGGATTCGACTCAGGTTCGAGACAGATATGATGTCCGTCTTGACTAAACTGGGCTCCCTAATTATGTGATGTTAGGCTAAACTAAATTTCTGATTACACCCGTGTTTATCGCAGCGGCCTAATAAACAGTGAACAGATAGGTAAGCAGTATTTGGGTAATGAAGCAGGGACATGAGGGAGAACCTGCCAGGTCCTGGTGGAGGGGGACCTGCAATAACGTTTTTGTCCTGAGCACTGTGAATTTTGAGAGCCCTAAATAAAGTCCAACACAAAATCCATGCATCACAGCCAAACACTATGACATCTACTACACACTGCAGAAAGCTAAAAAATGAAAGGTAAACTTATTTTAATTTTACAATCAATGATTTTAGGTTACTTCTGGAATACTGAAATAAAATACAATCCTGCACATCATAAATCATAGATTTATTATTGACCTACATCCATGCGTCCTGTTATATCATCATGAGAATAATCTTAGCCAAGCTGTACCAGAGGTAAGAAAACACGAGAGGATTATGGCGAATCCCTGAATGATTTTTAGATTGAAACTCTAAAGGACTCTGAAATATCCTAGTGAGTTTTATTGCAAATGATAGATTAGATCTAGATTTAAACTGATCTACATTATAAACTGGCCAGAACCTATTAACTTTTTACAGTAAACCTGAAATACTGTGCAAAAATATTAAACAGCCTTCTGTAAAAACACCTACATCATATTTAATTTGCTTTCTCACGCGGTGCAGTCTAATCTGTGCGAGTTTGGTGCAGGGATTATTAATCCATGTACAATCATGACTCAAGCCCCAGGACATCATTCTCATTCCCTAATCCTACATGTTTCAGTTATTAGGCAAAAAGAAAATAAATGATTGTGCTGGGATATACTTTTTTTTTTTTTTTTAAGGTCAGGAAGTAAACCATGTGTTTCATTTATCTGTTTTAGTCTTTGAAACAGTCAAGGAAACGAAATAACATCTGTTTTTAAAATAGTTCCGAGGAAGAAATAATGGCGCCTACCGTCCAAAGGTTTGGGGTCGGTTTTAAAAAAAAGTCTCTTAAACTCACCAAGGCTGTATTTATTGAATCAAAAAGACAAAAAAAAAAAAAAAAAAAAGATCTTGTGAAACATTATTACAATGTGACAAATGAGATTTATTGATTTTTTCCAAATCATTACTCAGTGTTATTACACAATCTTCAATGTCACATGATTCTTCAGAAATGATTCTGCTGATTTGGTGCTCAAGAAACATCTTGTATTATTATCTAAGTTGAAAACAGTTGTTCAAAACAAAATCTTACAAATCTTACACCTTTGGTCAGTAGTACACCATTTTGCACACTGCAACCAGCAAGACTTTCCTTGCTTGACCAACTTTTGCAGAAAGATGATGGTGGAGAACTAGTGTTTTTTTTGAAGATAAACAGCATGACTGTTAAATTCACGCGGCTCTGCAGAGATCTTTACAACAACCATTCATTTTGAAATTTAGGACAATAATTTGTATAAAGCTACTTAATTGAATTTGAAATCACTTGTGATTTTGACCTTGTAAACAGATCAAGGCTTTATTCAAATCCTTAACCACTCACTCTCCTCTGTATATATTTGCAGATCCTGATTTTAAGGACCTTGGAGTTCCATCACCTCTTCCATGTAAGTGTTTTATTTTCCTTTTTTCAAGTTTACCCTCTGGATATGAAAACCAGTTCACAATTCATTGCTGTGTTTTCATGGTGTAGTTTGTGAGTTTGAGATGAGCGGGCCAGAGGGCATTGTGGAGTCTGCAATGGTTGCGAAAGAGAGCAAAGCGTTGCAGACAGAGGCTGTAGACTGCAGGTGGTTCATAAGAGGTCCTCCTGGCTCTAAGGTAAACCTCCATTCACAACTGTATTCAATTCAATTAAAACCTAACATGTTGGTCTAAGCTAGTCTTTTCAGTAGGGTTTATCTTGTTCCACACTTCTTTTTCCAATAATATCCTGTTATTCTCCATTATGTCTAATTAAAATATAAATAAAATAAAAACAAACAAATGTCAATATATAGTCGTGCTCAAAAGATTATGCACCTTGCAGAATGTGAATTATTTTAACAAAATAAGAGGGATCATACAATTTGCATGTTATTTTTTATTTAGCACTGTCCTGAATTATATATTTTACATAAAAGATGTTTACACATAGTCCACAAAACCAAAAAATAGCTGGATTTATCAAAATGACCTTGTTCAGAAGTTTACTCTCGTTACCTGGATGATTCACAACCTTTTTGATGCTTGTTCTTGAGTCCATTGTTTATCCTGAGCAGTTAAACTGCCTGATGACCCTTTCCAACAGTGAATGTATGGTTTTGAGATCCATCTTTTCAAAATGGATCCATCTATTGCAAAATGGGCTGGAAACCTGAAGAATTTTCAGGACCTAGAGAATTTTTCTGAGGAACATAATTTAACTGCTAAGAACAAACAAGGGACTCATGAAAAACCATCACAAAACATAAAAACAGCCGTGGATCGTCCAGGTAACAATACACAGTAAGATACACGGGTATGCAAACTTTTGATAAATTCAGCATTTTTGTTTGTTTGTTTCGTGTACTATATGTAAACGCATTGTAAAATATCTTATTCAGGACAGTGCTCAATAAAATAATAATTAACATTTTGCAGATTCTACAAGGTGTATGTAAACTAGTTTTGAGCATGATGTGTCTACTGCACAGATCTATTTGCGCTTCCTGGATTATGAGATGCAGAACTCGAATGAGTGCAAGCGTAACTTTGTGGCGGTGTACGATGGGAGCAGCTCGGTGGAGCATCTGAAGAATAAATTCTGCAGCACGGTGGCCAATGACGTGATGCTGGTGACTTCATTAGGTGTGATTCGCATGTGGGCCGATGAGACTAGCCGCAGGAGCCGATTTCGTATCCTCTTCACCACCTTCCACGAGCGTGAGTCATAAAATCATCTTAACACATTTCAGTAGCACATATAGCTTGCTTTTTAGCATTAACGTTGTGATTTACCTCTTATTTTATCTACATATTTGGACTAACACATTATGAGTGCTGTACTGAGTCACTTCAGCAGTTTTAACTGCATGACATGTTAGTGTCTCATGTGGTTTCTATAATTATCATTTTGCTCTTCAGCTCCATGTGAAGGAGATGCATTCTTCTGCCATAGCAACATGTGTATTAACCACACGTTGGTGTGCAATGGTATCCAAAACTGTGTCTATCCTTGGGATGAGAATGGTTGCAAAGGTATATAATCACATACTCCGAAATGAAATACTTGCAAATGTATTTACAAAGCTAATGTAAAGTTAAGGGATATTCATCAAAAAAATAAAAAATAAATAAAACATCATAATTTACTCCCCCACATGTCATTCCAAACCTATATTACTTTCTTTCTTCTGTGGAAAATAAAAAAAACAGTTTTTGTCCATACAATGAAAGTCAGTTGGCGTCCAAAATAAAATTGAATGATAAAAAAAAAAATGCTTTTGCTTTCCACAAAAGAACGAAAATCATAAAGGTAAATGTTGACAGCATTTTCATTTCTGAGTGAACTATCCCTTTTTTAGTAGGCTACACCTCTTGATCCATAAATTGTAATAATATTTTACCATATTACTGTTCATGCTGTAATATTAGTGTATTTTTTGTGTATTTTATTTTAATTATTTGTCTTTTAATTATTTTCTAAATTCAAAACACTATACCTCATAAAGTTATCATGCCCCTCTCACACAGAGAAAAGAAAAGCCACTATCCTGGACAGCCTTGACAATACCAATGTAACCATCATTGGAGTGACCTGCGGAGTGGTGATTATCCTGCTGACCGTGTCGATAATCATTCAAATAAAACAGCCACGGAAAAAGTACATAATCCGCAGGGATGAATTTGACCCCACCTTGCTTCACGAGGCCTTTGAACCCCCGCACTACGAGCTGTGCACGTTACGGCAAGCAACCTCATCCGATGATGAGGTGTTACCTGAGGATTTCCCCAAATTGCAGCGCACCTCCTCCAAATGCGTCCACGGTCACCACTGTGGCTCGGCGGTGTCCAGCACTCGAGGCAGCCGCACCGACCTCAGCCTGCGAGATGCTGCTGCCATTCTCTCAGAGATGGAGACGTCAGTACAACCCCAGTTCCCTATGCAAGCCACCCCCACTGGCCGCAGGAATATTCTGGTGATGAAGCACAGCTACTCGCACGATGGGGCTGAAGAGTGCGACCTGGATGATGAATTTTATGACGGGCCCACCACCAGCCACGGGCGAGCTGCAATGGACAGAACTGTGCATCGGTCAATATCCAATGACTTTTGATGGTTTTCCATGCACACCAGCCCAGTTTTCGGATTGATTGTTTCTTTATTGTCTTTTGTCTTGGGTTTATTTGTAGTATTTTGTTTGTTGACAGACAAAATTGCCTTGTCTAGTCACTCTATTTTCATCATTTTGCATCCATAAAGGAATATCAATCACCGTTTTGCATCCATAAAGGAACATCAATCACAGTTTTACTGTCAGCTTTCTTTCCCTGTTTTGCCTAAAATATTGTGCTTGCTGTCTATTCCATATAATTTGATGACTGTAATGCACTTTTGTTTTACTCCTAGTGTCGAAAAATTATATTAGGACAGAGGATCATTGCATATGTTTGTAAATAGTTTAGATCCATATTGTCAGGGTCCCGCCATGACAGTCTTGTCTATTTTGTCACTGTTCATTGTTTCCTTGTTTGTCTTGTGCACATGGCTTTGTCTTTGTTTGTGTTAGCCATGTGCTTCTCTTGTCCCGCCTCCTTGTTTCCTGTTACCACACTACCTTGTTTAGTCCTCATTTCACTAATTGTACTTACCTGATCTTCATGTGCTCTGGTCCCTTTATATTGTGCATTTTTCCTTCTTGTCTTTGCTGGTTTGTTCTTGTTTCTATGTTGTTGTTTTTTTTAGATCTAGTGTATCATTTTGTGTTTTTCCCCCTTCCAGTCTTATTCTAGTTAATTTTAGTCTTTTGTTTTTGTCTCTTTGGATTTTATTTATCTCTTTGGACTCTTATTACATGCAGTTCCCTGTCAGTTTATTCTTGTTTTATTTTTTGATTGCAAGTTTCAGTAACTTTATTCCTAGTTTTCTTTTGTTTTGCTTCACTAGTGATTGTTCTGTTTCAGTCTTTATAGTTTTTATTTTTTTATTTCTTATTGAAATATTCTATTGTCTTGCCCTGTCATCTTGTTGTGTCTTGTCTTGTTCATTGTGAGTTGTGTTTGTCCCTGCCCTGCATCCTTAGAATTCCTGACCACTGACATTCACTGTGTTTCAGCCAGACTGGTGCTACAGCTAAGAGATCAAGCCTCTGGTTCATTGTGTTCTTGCCTGGTCTTCCTCACCATCATTCCACCTGGTACTGCCTCTTCAAGCCTGTTTTCATCCAGGACTGATTTCATTGGTCATCCTCCTTGCCTTTCATTGTGTCGTCAGCCCTACTCTCTGAACTGTTTCACATGAACTCTCCTTGTCCTGTCTATTCTTCACAGCTATTCTGTGCCTGGGTCCTCTTTCAGATTCTCAACAGTACCTGATGCATACTGTTTCATGTATTATTTAAAACATGACATAAAATCCTGTCATTGCTGTTATGGTTATATTTAACATTGTTTTTAGGGGATCTGTAACAAGCTTCTCTCTTGAACTGTGGTTTAATTTAATTGTTTTTCACTTTGACCTCATTTATTTGTATAGTCATTGCTTTTATGCCAGTGTGAGAACATGTGCTTATTTTATACTTTGTTACCCTTCAATTTTAATTCTCATTTCACATTACTGATAAAATTACGAACAAACACAGTTGTTATGCAGTCTGATTTTATTGCATTATAAAATGTCATGTACATGCACTTTCTTCACCTATTGGTAGCAATTTAATGTGGTCATAAGTACCACATGTAAACATTTCTACAAATGTGTATTCCTCGTCATAACATTTAAATAAGTTTTAAAAGTGATGTTTTATTACAAATGCCATTGAAGGTTGATAGTAGCAACCATAAGATGCTGTGAGTTTTGAGCCGCATAATAGTGCCTCCCACTGACTTACAAAGTAATTGCAGGAGAGGAATTTTCACCACTCAAAAAGGGCTGTACCCCATCTCTGCAATAATAATTAATAAAGGCTGGTTTCTGAAGTACTTTTTCCTGTATTAATGTTCATGGGTACCCTAAATGGGTTCCATTCAGACCTTAACATTAAGCCTTTTACAGTTAAATGTCAACAAGATTAAAAAAAACAGTTTCACCTGCTATGCATTACCCAATGTTTAGATCTTTATATTATGCACCGTTTGTCCATGTTAACAAAAAATTTCAAAAAAACGTGTAATATATTTTTTGTTTGTTTTGATATAAGGAATCAACTTACCCTTTTCACGTGAGAAAAAGAATATGAGAGTAGGGTTGAGCGATATGATGTTACACATACCAGTGCTGTAGGTGGCGGTATGCACTTTAAGTTGTTTGCAATCCGTCATTAACTAAGAGAAGAAGAAGATCAGTAGACTTTTATGCTGGTAGCCTATATTTTCCATATTTTTTCACATAGATATCATGGCAACGTTGTTAATTTATTGAAATGTTTTGCTCATTGCGTATCTGACCTCACAGCTGTCATTGGGAATTCAGTAAGGAGGTCAGTGGATTCATTTCAGGATGTCTGACTCTGGCACAGAATTAAATCTACGCTCAGAGACTTTTAAACAGGGATCAGCGAGTGAAGGTGGTTTTAAAAAACGAATCGGTATTATTGCAACTTGTGTCGTCGGAGGGTCATTGGTCGCTCTGTATGCAGTCACCGGGCCGTTTATTACACCAGCATTGAGGAAAGTTTGTCTCCCATTCGTACCTGCAACAAGGACACAAGTTGAAAACGTTCTAAAGGTTTTGAAAAATAGATCAGGGTCCCTGGTGGATATCGGTAGCGGAGATGGACGGATAGTGAGTTTCCTGAATTGGACTTTTCATCTTTTGATTTGGAGTTTGCACTAACAATCACTACACCCCACCACTTCAGTAGCGTGTTATATCATGGTCATTAAACTAAATTACAGCATTGTGATGTTAGTTAATTGTTACATAGTTGAACCATTAAGTTATCCCAAAATCTCCTAAAAATCTTATTCCTGCATTGTTTGGTGTAGGTTATCGCTGCGGCAAAAAGAGGCTTCAAGGCAGTTGGCTTTGAGCTGAACCCATGGCTGGTCTGGTACTCCCGCTACAAAGCCTGGAGGGAAGGTGTTCATCACAGCACATCTTTTTATATTTCAGACCTTTGGAAGGTAAGAACAGGTCAATCATAATCTAAATGTGGATCTCCTTTTGTATTATTAATCAGTTGATTAAGCATCTACAGATCAATAGTCCATGATCAATAATAAAAAATTAGGCCGGGACTTGTTTGTCCAATTAGGTGTCCACAACTTATTGGATCTTTGTGATTGCTATTTCTGTAATCTCATGTGAGTGACAGGTTGTCCCGCCCTCGTGCCAGTAAACACATCATCAGAGAAGAGTTTTTGTTGCAAAAGGGAGGGGCAGTTATTTTGATTAAAGATTATGTGTACACATGAATTTTTACAAAAATAAAGTGTTGCACAGCCATGGATGTATCATTTATCATAAATACTGCTTTATCCAAAAAAATACAAACTGTCCATTTTGATTCCATGGTGACATTAAACTCTTTTCATAGGTCAGTTTTTCAGAGTATTCCAACGTGGTCATCTTTGGGGTTCCTCAAATGGTAATATGATGTATATTTGATATCTATATGTGTGTGTTTCCGATAATGCATCTAATCTAAGATCAGACAAATATTGTTTAACTTTTTTTTTCCTCCACAGATGGAGCAGCTTGAAGTCAAGCTCCAAACAGAGCTCCAGAGTTCAGCTAAAGTAGTAGCTTGTCGCTTTCCATTTCCCACTTGGACTCCTGATGATGTAGCTGGAGAAGGAATTGACTCAGTGTGGGTTTACAATGCCAAGACATTCAAACCACACATCAGAAATGATAAAGACAATGTCATAAGTCTTCAACAGCAATGACCTAGGAAAACAAATACTACTTTCTTTACAACATTGACAAACATTTCGTCTCTGTAATGTCATTGTAAAATTCAGACTATTTTGGTGTTCATAATAAAATATCCCTTTGTTTTTGTACAAAAGTAATCTATTCTTTCAGCTTTTTTATTGTGACAAAGAAAAGGATTTTATATATAGAAAGATTTATTTACACACCACCAAATAAACTTGGCTTTGTTGGGACAAACGCACCCATACAAAACATGAATTACTACTAAAAAGTAGCTAAGAAAAAGGTGTGTGTTTTGCACATGCCCAGGTGTGTAACTAGATTCACAGTTCTATCCCTTTTACCTCCTTAACATACATGCAAACCACAAAGCCTCTTGTAGTTTATGCTCGCCTCGCATTCGGCCTTGTATTCATAATAATAATACAAAGATTAAGGGTGGTATGTTACAAATTCGCTTACATAATTATGCATACGAGTGGTAGCAGTAGCAGAGCCCGATATGAAAATGTTCTACAATCCAGCGCAGTCACTACCGGAAAACGCTAGAAAGTGTCGTAGCGTTCTCTGCGCATGCGCGATGATCTGTCGTAAATCGAAACCAAAGCACAAGCCCATTCGGATCCAGAGGCCACAAACATGTTCAGCCGAGTGTAAAATAGTCGACCAGCAAGTATCTGGATCAGCGCTGTTTGTGTGCACTACACGAATAAATAGTGTCCGGTCTGAGATTATGCACCGGCCATGCTTGGATCGATTTTGTCATGTTTAATTTTAGCGTAATTGTGAGCTGATACTGTGTTTTGCTCCGCGGTGTGTGTTATGTGTTGACTGTAAAGAGGACAGTGCGTCACCGTACAAGATGGACACTGCCGAAGAAGGTAAGCTGTCTAGACAACGAGGCAATCTGTCTGCTGTCTGTTTGTCGTTGATTTTGTACATGGGCTTTGACAGAAAAGTGTGTTTATCATTATGTGCTTATTTAGCCAGGGCGCTCAACCAAATAGCTGCTATCCATCTTGCAAATATGCAATTGATGTGGCCTTTGCAAGCTAACAAGCTAAGTTATATGATTCCCTGCCAGCTTGGTCTTTAGTACAGCTGTCATCCTCCGAGCACGTCCACATAAAGATGGCTTTACTATTAATTTGATTTAACAGCGTGTCATGGAAATGTTTAAAAGCACATTAGTCATGTTACCAGTTTTAGCCTTTATCATAACAACTGTAACTCACGCATATTTTGGCCAGGTTTAAACGCACATGAAATATGATGACACGTTCAACCTAGTAGGTCAGTCAGTCAAATCACGTATATCATCTTTGAAACATTGCAGTGAGTGCTCGATAATTGTTTTAACTTTATGTGTGGAAGAGTGATAGGTGTCATGTTTTTCATTACTATATCTAGTCAGGGTTTCTACAGTTATTATAATATAAGAGGGTACAGAGATTGATTGGCAAGATAGAAAGCCATAATCGTGCTTGCATCGACCTTGTTTTGTATTTGTCAGTAAAAATAATAAAACATAAAAAAATTAAGTCTTTTTATATAAAAAATAATAAAGTCTTTTTTCATAACTCGCATTCTCTCATGTTATAGTAGAGTCTGGGTTTGTTGCAACGTTCATATCCCATTCATCTTCATTTAATTGAATGTGTTAGGCTATTTAAACTTCTTTTTAAAAAGTTTATTTTGCCCTTTTTTTCTGGCAGCTGATATATGTAGGGTGTGTCGATCTGAGGGAACTCAAGACAAACCCCTCTACCATCCCTGTGTGTGTACTGGAAGTATTAAGTTCATCCACCAAGAATGGTAAGAGCTTTGTTCGTTCAGTGTCGTATTCCCTTTGCGATAACTCTTTTAATGAGATGCTTTTGGTTCAAACTATGTGAAATGTCTTCCAAAGTGTCATATTAGAGGTAACACAATCAGTAATGAAACCTGGTTCATCATGCCTAAAGTCACTTTATTATTAGTTTATCGTGAGTGGAATAAAATTCAGAAGATGTAATTTGAGCAGTTAACTACACTGAACCTTATGTCCTGCAGTAATAATAATAGGTTTCCTAATAAACTAAAGGAACTAGTCAGGAGTGACGAGTCAGTAATGGCAAAAAAAATGGCACAGCATGAAATTGAAACCACTTGCAATTTAAGAAGGTGGTGGTTTTACACTGTTCTTACTGTTCTTACAAATTAAGCTTACAAGCCAACAAGAGCAGGCATTAAGCATGGTTGATGATTTTGATTATTAGAAAGTTCAAAAGAACAGCATTTATTTGAAATGTATTTACTGTCAATTTTGATCAATACTGTATAATGCTTGCTGAATAAATATTATTAATTCGATTTTTTAAAGAAAGAAAAAAATATTACTGACCCCAAACTTTTGAACAGTTAAATGGCAATACATATATATAAAAAAAGAAAAAATCTGAAACCGGTGTATATATATATATATATATATATAATTTGATTACTGAATAGACAGAGCCAGCAGCACCCATTTGACTAAATTACAAGCTGTAATTTATGAGCTCAGGGGGCCTCGTCAATGTAATGGTAAAACCAGCTATGGAGTTCCAGCTGTTGTTATTCTTCCCCTGTGTAAGTGGGAAATGAAGCTGGATTTTCAGTGCTTTTTCACATACGTCAGATCATCACTCTCATGCCTGCTTCCTTTTGTGTTTTCACAGCTTGGTGCAGTGGCTTAAACACAGCAGAAAAGAGTACTGTGAATTATGCAAGCACAGATTTGCTTTCACACCAAGTAAGTAAACCCCTCTCATTACATTCTTCAGGGGAGGTAAAGCCAAAGCTCTATATTGTCACAACGGCCACGAATGGCCTGTTCAATAGCAGTGATTGTGTGCTTCAGAGCGATAGGGTTCTATGGGTTGAGTCATGTGATTTAAAAGCACGACACTCGTGTTGTCTGACGTAGATATTTGCTGAGGTGAAACAAGGTTTTTATACCCAGGCCAGAGCGAGTCATTGTTGCATGGCTTTTGGGCTTTACTACAATGAAGATGTCATAATTGAGTTTTGGGCTATGTTTTACAAAAGCGTTTAATTTAATTTAAACACAGGCACTTTGGGAACCATTAGTTCCAGTTTCTTGCACTGTTATTTTACACACATACAGCTCATGACCCAGTGTTTTCAGTGTGTAAGAGCGGCTCAGTTTACAGAAAATGATGCTCCCCATGAACTCATCTCTGCATGTGCTCTGTTTAGGTTACTTATAACACTCATTTGGGGTCACAAAATGCTTCTATCTTCCTAAACTTGTTATGAAAAGTGCTGTGGTCAATAAAAGAGAAGCTTTTTGGAGTCCCTGTCGTTTAATGGTTTAATGTATGAAAATTAAGAAATGAAGACAACCATATATAAAGTATTTTAGTATTGTAATTTTACAGTTGTAGTGTACAGCTGTCTTATTACAATTTTAAAGCTGCAGTCCATAACTTTTGCCGCTCTAGCGGTTAGTAAACAGTCTTGCAGAAGAACATTGTAGCCAAAGCTACTTCTCTGTTTATGTCAATGACGTCTCATGAAGGTAACGCGCTGCTCCGCAAAGGTGCTGACCCAAGCCAACCTAAAATAGTCAAGATAAACATTTATTATTGGTGTACCTTAGTGATTCGAGATAAGACAAAAACACAGTTTGGAAAATGGATTCACGGTGTTCTTGCTCATTAGGTAATTTTTTTACATTTTGAACACAAAAAAAGTTACGAACTGCAGCTTTAAAAAAAAAAAAGAAAATTATTACGATTAAGAAAAATTATTTTTCTTGAATGCTCTTTTATATTACAGTGAAATATTACAATGGTAATATTTCTTACTTTATTATTATTATTTGGTAATAATAATACTACAAATGTTATTTATTATTATTTTGTTATTGTCATTAATATATACATTTGCATATATAATACATAATATAGGTTTTACATAGTATAATATATACATTGGAACAGCCCTACAAAACTGAATAAAATAAAAAAATATAAAAATGTTCTCCCCAAAATCGTGCAGCCCATGCTCAAGTGATACATAACCTTAGACGTATCCTTGTTATCCTAAATGTATACTTGTTAACATTTTTTTTCTGCTCTCAAATGTTCCCATCTGTGTTTATGTAGACAATAATTGTTATTTTGATTCTCAAGTTTTTGATGACACACTTGGGACACTTCTGCTTCTTCTGTACTTCTATTTGTAGAGTTATGGTATGAGGCATTTCTGATACATGATTTGAGAGCAAGATGTATATTAAACATCTGTGAAAATAAACTAGTAATCAAAACAAGCCTGCACTCAAATAGTTGCAAAGGATTTTGAGCATCTTACATTTGAATAAAATCAGTTTAAAATCCATATTTCTCAGTACTGAATGCTGCACTTCCACTCATTTATGACAAACCTTTACAATGTTTATCTATGATAGATATAAAATGTATTAAAATCCTGATCTCTTTTCCTTTCAGTTTACTCTCCAGACATGCCTTCACGGCTGCCAGTGCAAGACATTTTCGCAGGATTGGTCACCAGTATAGGCACGGCAATCCGATACTGGTTTCATTACACGCTTGTTGCCTTCGCCTGGCTGGGGGTTGTACCTCTAACAGCATGTAAGTGATGCCCATAGATCACAGTGTGTGACTTTACTGAGTAGTACGTTGTCTTTTTCCATATGTTGCTCATATAATGCTCACCTTTTCCTTTAGGTCGCATCTATAAGTGTCTGTTCACTGGATCCGTAAGCTCCCTGCTGACTCTGCCATTAGACATGCTCTCCACGTACGTACCAGACAGGAAAGCTCAAGTTTTCTTCTTAAAATATTCATTTAAATTACGGATCGGCTCATTGTGAACTCTGAGCATGATGGGTTATTTTGATCCTCTCCGCGGTCTTGGGTTTAGCTGTGGATGTGGTGAATTGTTATGGTTGGATATTTCAGAAGTGATGATCAGCGTTTGTCCATCCTCTGCAGAGAGAACTTGCTGGCTGACTGTCTGCAGGGCTGCTTTGTTGTGACCTGCACTCTCTGCGCCTTTATCAGTCTGGTGTGGCTGCGAGAGCAGATTGTTCATGGTGGAGCCCCTTTATGGTTGGAGCAGAACCAGCAGCAGCCTGCCAATGCAGCAGGACCGCCCAATGAGGTAGAATATCCACATCGCTTTTCATCAGACTGAATGCAGATCACCCTCAAATTTAAATCATTTAGAAAATACAATAGTAATACACTAATACAATTGTATAACTACACTTTGTTTTTACTTTACTTGTCATTATTACATAACCATCTACACTACAGTTCAAAAGTTTGGGTTGTATGATTTTAATTTAATTTTTTTTTTTTTTTTGAAAGACCACCATGGGTATTATAACAATAAAAAAGATATATAATGTAATTTATTCCTGTCGACAAAGCTGAATTTTCAGTAGCCGTTACTCATGTCACGCAATATTTAAGAAATCAATTTAAAATGCTTATTTGCTGCTCTAGTTACATTTTGTAGCATTATCAATGTTGAAAACAGTTGT